CGGTTTTCGATACCCATCCCTAGACAGAAGTAAAGAAGTTGTTTTGATTGAAACTGTGTGACGCGGACGTACTAAAATAACATGAGGAGCTAGGGTGCAGACGGTTTTGCAGTTATAGGGCAGACATGTAGTATTGAAATAGATCAAGGGACGGTTTAGTAGGGGAGGAGCAAGCGGATTATAACATAGGTGATATGCTTGTAATGCTTTAGATCTGCAGGGGCCTTAGCACTGTGCGTATCTCCTTTTCCGGAAATGAATAAATAAAATGATTGAAAAGTTTTGACCACACTGAGCCGTGTTTTCTCTGTCCAGTAAAAGAATAAAAAGAACAGGATTCAATACTTGGTGCCGAAAACCCGGCATTCTTTTACAGCTGAGAGGACAAATTTGGCCCAAGGTGGGATCGTGAAATGAGGCCAACAGAGGACCGGTTCAATAGAATTTAAAGGTAAGCACCACCTGTTAAATCAAAGTGTGCATTTTGGATGAATTCTAAATTATCTGTTCGCTGAGTTAACGATCTTCACTGTTAAATTGGCTCAGTAGTGTTGAAACATTAGAACAAGAGATTTTTGCTAAGAACTGCAGGTTGATGTTTAAGTCTGCTGCAAAGTTGTCTTCACGTGTTGCCGTGGAAGTATAATAAATTTTACAATAGGCCAGCAGGCGTTGGACGTCGGCCGCAGGTACGGTGTTAAAGTTACCAATTTGATTCTAGTACGAGAGTTGGACTCTTAAGAGCGCGAATTGCAGCTTTGGCAAACCACCTCTCTTGGACGCAAGAGTGGATCCGATGGAACTGGGTGCCAGGTCGGTAATTCCTCGGGATTAGTTTCGCGCTGATTGGAAAGCAGAAGTTGGACTTCAGGGGGAGAGTTTGGACGACAGGGTTGGACCTGGGCATTGATTAGAGCTGGTTGTTTCAGTCCCCAGTGATGCTTTTAAATTTATCTGTGGTTAAAAGTTGTGAATCCCTCTTAAATTAATGACGTGGGCATAGGAGGTTGGACCCGGGCGTAGGACGCCAAGAAACCCACGAGGGCCCCACGGTGCTTCTGCTTGAGTGCAATTGTGTTGATTGTGTTTGTGTAATTGGCTGTTTGTTTATTGTGCATGGTTGCAAGTCTAAAGCGGTTAGTATATACTTGTGTGAAGCTGTTCAGTTTGTGTGCGTGGCTGAGGGTGCATTCGTTTTATATTAAAAGTGAGTAGAATTACAGAGGGCACAGTATATAGTGTGTGAACATTGTAACAAGAGTTTGATTAGGGTGAAGAAACTCAGGAAATGCAGTGATGTGAAGAGTGTGTGTGTATGAAAAACGCTGTGTGTGTGTGTCTGTGACAGGAAGTGAAAATGTCTGCATGCAGTCTGAAAGGAAATTGCCTGATGTGTGTGTAACGAGTGAGAGAGAGACGTTTTAAAATGTAGATAGAGAATGAAAGTGTTAATAAGTAGTGATGAAAATGATATTAAACAAATGTCTTAGTGTGTTAATACTAATGGAACTTGGCTCAACCTCCTCCATGAGTACAGCGGCAGAATGATAGATTAACATAACTGGAACGACAAACGGGCTGAAAATTTCACAGCTTCATCCTGTGCTTATCTTGAGAAGAAGCTTCAAGGACGGTCAAACTCTCACTGAAGACTAAAGGCAGCTCCAGAGCAACCGAGTCGACTTCAAGCATCAACAACAGAGAACAGACAGCAACAATGACCTAAAACTCTGAAGGGTCCAGAAGCATGTACAAATACCATGGTGAAGGGAGGCATGCGTTCTTAATCCCAAGCTGGCAGTTTACAGGTGACATCATTGTGTGGATGGACTTGATGGGACTGTCTGAGTTTCACATTTGCCATGCTGGGAGTTAACCGGCAAAATAAGAGACTGAAAAAAAGAAGAGAGAACGAACAGAGAAGAAGAAACAGCTCATTGGGCGTATCATTGCTGCAGATCTCGGGGAGCAGGAAGCAACTGTGAGAAGAGAAGACGAGGGCTTGGATGAGAGATGAAGGCTTGTGCTGTTAAAGTGAGAGCATATGAAAATTGGGTTGAAAATTGAGGCTGACTGGTTGAGAAAGTGTCCAGACCCTTGTAACAGAAAGGTAAATAAAATAAAGATATAAAGAAATAAACTAATAATTACATAAATGAATAGAAAACATACATACACAAATAGAAACATATGAAATTATTTTTGAAGAGAATCAGGAGCTGGGAGAGACAGTTTGCATCCACAGCTCCACACCAATATGCATGCATTAATCTGAATACAAATCCATACATGCAATGAAGATCAGCTTACACTCATGAATGCTAATATATCACATAAATGCTAAATAGTGTAGATTTAACAGACACTTGCTATCAGATGCTGAGGTTATCCATTGCTGAGAAATAGCTCTGCAAGTTGGACGACAACAGGTTGACTTTTGTGAAAAGGAAAACAGACTGTTATGACCAACCAGTGATCAAACAATAAATTTAGTTTTAAAATAGTAAATTGTGAGAGGTCTTTTACTGATTGAGCAACACCAGTGACTACTGTATAAAGAAATTTTAATTTTGCGGTAATATTTTTAATATGCATTTCTGTTGTTTGGCCAAGTGGGAGAGCTATGAGTCAATATGCAAATTAGTTGAGTGTTCTTAGATTAGGGAAAGATGATTTGGTTTCACATGTGAACAGAGTACAAGAGAGGGTTGAATGAGTGGAGACATAGAAAATAGTTCCTGTTTTGGGTGCATGAGTGAAGCTTGTACTGAGAGAAATATATATCTGACTGTGTGAGAAGAATTGCTTGGTAAAATACATGATAGCATGGTACAGGAAAATTAAATAAAGTTGTTCGGTCTGTGACTAAAAGGATAGTAGGCAAGTGGTAGGTGAGGGAATGACAGTTGATAGATGGCTGATGAGCAAGCTGGTTGATAAGTATAGTGAAGAACAAATCAGGCTAGAAAGTTTTAAAGTTTGAAATCCATCCACAATTACCAACTGTAGTCATTGTGAAGCAACAACTGGGTTGTAGTCAAAAAGCCACCACATAGATGTGAGCTAATCAATGTCTAAAATGATTATATAAAGTAATACCTGTTTTTCTTGTGCTGTAGCAAGTTCAGTGAGGGTGGAAGATGAAATTTCTTGAAAGCCCCAAAAATTACTGAAATAAAGACATAAAAGACCAAGACAGGTCCTGGAAATGTGCAAATAAAGTGTGTCTGTGAAATCTGGTGTGGAAATTCTTCCTTTTAAATGCACCTGGGAAACAGAGATGCACACATAATCAACGTAGTGCTTTTTTGTTATAAAAATGGGCAAGTCAGCATGCAGGTAAACAACATTTGTCAGAGTTAAAGGTTATTACAATCTCTAAGTAAGTAGGGAATGGTTCAGTGTCCTCCTTTACTGCCAGCACTGGGCAAAACTGAATAAGCGCTGCTTCCATGTAGATTGAATGTCTGTCAAATATCCAAGCCAAAACTACGGTCACAGCAGCATGTGGAATGCTAGATATCTAGTTAGCCGAACATATGTATAGTTGGCTAATCTCATCTAATGGACCAAAATAAAGCTTTGACACAAACACATTGTGGTGTATGTACAAGGTGGTGAGAGAGAGAAAGAGTCTGCCTCATGTTCCAATTGGTTTACTTTTTTTTTTTTTTTTACATATTGTCATATTTTATTCTACAAATTTTCTCACCAAGTTCTTGCAATCTCTTTTGTAACATATTAGTTTTCATGCAGACCTACAAACTCTTGACTCTTGTCATGTAATTAATATATTCTTAGTGCTTATTTTCTGATTATATATTTTTATGTACTTTAGTAATGAAGGTTTGTAAAGCAAGGACATTTTTGACTCACTTTTTGCTCAGCCAGACTGAAAAACAGGAAGTTAGTGTAGAGCTATACAAGCATATTAATAAATACGGGAAGCCAGACAGAAAAGAGGAAATTGTACCATATATAAGGAGTTGTTGAAACTATGTGTGTCGTGTAAAGTACCAAAATAAAACCTATATGAGACAGACACATTTTATGATTCTAATGTTAAAAATCCTGCAACTGGTGTTGGGCTGTGCAGGGCTCTCTCTTCCGGAAGATGACAGAATAAAGAATTAAATATAAAATGTTTTGACCACTCTTAGTCAGGTTTTCTCTGTTCTATTATGGGGATCAAAGACTCAGGTTTTAATAGAGTCTGCCTCATGTTCTAATTGGTTTACGTTTTTCTTACATATTGTCATATTTTATTCTACAAATTTTCTCACCAAGTTCTTGCAAGCTCTTTTCTAACATATTTGTTTTCATACAGACCTGCAAACTCTTGACTCTATAAGACCTTTAAAGGTCAGGAATTGAGGTCTGGAATTAAGTCAAAACTCAATTCTTTATAGATAAATAACCTAATTCTAAAATGACATATTAAAGAGTCCACATGTTGTGCAGATTTGTACTTAAGTCACTGTTTTGTTAGGTTTAGGCAAAAAATGTCATCCTTTGCAAAAAAAAAAAAAGAAAAAAATCCTATCATGTAATTATAATAATAATAATGGGTTGCTTTTATATAGCACTTTTCAGGGCCCTCAAAGCGCTGTACAATTTCACTATTCATTCACTCTCACATTCACACACTGGTGGAGGCAGCTACAGTTGTAGCCACAGCTGCCCTGGGGCAGACTGACAGAGGCGAGGCTGCCATATCGCGCCATCGGCCCCTCTGGCCAACACCAGTAGGCGGTAGGTGAAGTGTCTCGCCCAAGGACACAACGACCGAGACTGTCCAAGCCGGGGCTCGAACCGGCAACCTTCCGATTACAAGACAAAAAGCCAACTCTTTGAGCCACGATTGCCCCCGTTCTATTATGTTAATTATTATTTAATTAACATAGAAGTCCCTGTGTTTATCAAGAGTTGATGTTAAAGTTGTGCTCTTGTAAACCCTACGTTAAAACAAACTGATCTAATGGTTTGCAAATTCATTGCAGGTGTTCCTGAAAAGTGACCGTGTGTCCCGGATGGTGCAGAGTGGCGGCTGCTCAGCTAGTGACTCTCGGGAGGTTTTTAAGAAGCACATAGAGAAACGTGTGCGCAGCTTACCTGAAATTGATGGGCTAAGCAAAGAAACAGTGCTGAGCTCCTGGATTGCTAAATTTGACACCATCTACCGAGGTGAAGAGGACCCCAGGAAACACCAGCAGCGTGTAACAACCAGTGCTGCCTCTGAACTCATCCTTAGCAAGGACCAACTATATGAGATGTTCCAGCAGATCCTGGGTATCAAGAAGTTTGAGCACCAGCTCCTTTATAATGCCTGTCAGGTCAGTAAATTAACAGATTTTGGGAAAATATAAGTTTGCTGTTGTCTATAATTTAACTTCCACCTTTTTAGACCTTACTGTTGAATGTGGAACGTTAGTTGGTGAGGGTGGCCATGCCAGAAAAAGAATTGAAAACCTTTGTTCTTGAGATTTAGAAACAGAAGTACTGATTTTGAAACAATTAGATCATATAAGGTCACGAGAACTAAGGTTGTTGAGTAGTTCAGTCAAAAGATACTTGCTTAAACAGTGCCTTGGAACTTCTGGTAACTTGTAACTTAATGCAAATAACTCCACAAAAAAGTAAGCCAGAAGAAGCTGTCTTTCTTTCTCTGGGAATTTAATATTGGCAGCTGTAATGACAAGATAAAAGCCAGACATGATCAGTGAAGGCAGACAGGCATCATCACAGTCATCAGTTTTTTTAAGAAACATATTTTTTTCACGTTTCCTATAGCTTTAGTTTAGACAACCAAGAGAGCTTGTACTAAAGTCCCGTTTCCATTAGTAGATACTCAGATCGACTAACCACAGATTGCCACAACTTGACTCGGATCAACTGGTTTTCCATTACAAAAAAGTAACAGTCATAGCATCATTGTCACTGTCATTGCTTCCATACAGAGATGATCCAATATTAAAATGATAGTTATTGCATCCCTGCCGTCACATGCATGTGAGCTTGAGTGACATCTCATTCTTAATCTATAGGATGTAATATGCCCCCTCTCTGGGGCTGGGGTTGGCTGATGATCTGGTTATTGAGTTGCTGCTGGCTGCCCCAGAGAGTGGAAGGATATGTGTCTCTTTGTGCAGTTGTGTGTGTGTATG